GCACTACTAACCCAATTGCCAGGTTACTAAACCTTTATTAGTACCAACAATAGCAACTAATCTGTACTAACCTAATGGATTTAACCAGCAGTTCAGATCCTAGTCTTTAATAATAAGTTTGGGTGGTAAAAGTTTTCGAGCGTCCATCGCTTATTATTATGGAATCAAAAACAGGATAGTTTTCAATTTTGGTCATCAAATAGAGTACTCTGGTAATCAGGAGTAGTTATGCAACTCGTTGCGACCTAAATCGAGAATCCGAGAATCGACCCTTTGTAGTATCAGGAATCAGGATTCATCGCTGTGACTAATTTAAGTACCTAAAGTAAAAACAGTTCGTCCACTAATTAACACACTAAGCAAAAAACTCCTTAGAAAACAGACGAACAAACAAGAATAATTTTCATGATCGCGTAAAAGACCACAAAATGTTTGCAGCAAATGATAAACTCAATCATCCAAAAATGTTAAATATGTCATCTACATCGGTAACAATCATCAGTAAATGTTAAAACAAAGTACAATGGCATGTCAAGAATCTAATTAATTGGGTGAATCTACTTAAAAATCCGATATGTGGAACTATTGAAAATGAAACGTTGACCCTATAGGCAACTTTATGATTATAACGAATAACTTTTCACGATTGTTATCGATTACACCTTACATTATAGAAACAAGCAATCTGAGAGCTATAAATAGCCTTCTGTTCATGTCAAAATTCCTCAGATCTTATAAATGATCTGTTCTGGAGTGATGTTTCCCAGTATAGATTATAGGCAGAATTTGACTATTAATGATGGAAATTTTTGGCAATTAGTAAGCGTCCTTTCTCCGCGGGGATGTCAAAATGACTGGAAATTTTTACTGGAAAACGTTTAAAGAAAAGGAAGTAAAAAACCTCCTTTTCTGTTCACAATTCAAATAAAAGCACGTGTCACGTGACCTTACTCAACAACTTTGCAGAGCTCGTCGTTAAAACATTCGCTACCTGGGAACAACACTACGTACAAAAAAATAGACTCACACTAAAATACAAAAAACCCTAACAGTCTGCTCGCGAGGGCCTTATTGCAGTGAGTAAAGTGGAGGACTCCACGGCAATATGTTTAACTCATCCGGCAAATTAAACGAGTCTTCTAACAAACACAGCTAATTTAAAGTCGCTACCGGCCGTCCGTGTGGCAGTGCACGAGAGTAGTTCTCTACTGAGCTGTGTTAGTTTGTAGGACACACAAATTATAGAAGACAGTACTTTTAAACATGTGTCCATAACAAGGCAGCGTGAACTGCGTGCAATTATCATTATATCCAACATAACGTACTATACAGACTGAACCGCTAAGCTAGGGCAGCTTATCAGGGGACTAAGAACGGGAGTGGGATTGATATCAGAGTTCAGTCCTTGAAGGTCGTATACCCAACCCCCGAACAGATGGATGGTAAAACTATTGAGGGCCAGATAATATTCTCTCAAGAAGACCAGGTCGAGTGTTATACTAATACAGTATGTGAATAGCAGAGGAGCAACTGGAGCACTGCAATACTGGAGCACTGTTATAACTTTAATAACAATAGAACACTATCATAAATACATAGCAAACACAGTTATTTTCAAGATTCTTTGTACAACAAAAAGGTAGAATCCTTCCCTACAGGTGGTATCCATTTGTCCAGCTGTGATTTTTTACTACATCGATTGACGAACACGAGCCGGAGGCTAGACAGTGTAAAGAGGGCTGAGATAAATTAGAAACTCGACACTTACAATCTGCAATACCCAATTCTGCTTCAATTCGATCAGGAAGAATCAACCGGCCCAGGAAACACCTTTGAAGGCTTACAGAATTCCCAGACTACGATTTTCCCCAGACTGCGATTTCCCAGACTACGATCGAATAGCATGAAGGAAGCGAGAGCCTTAAAACCTGTTTAAAATTTTCCGGTTTCCACCAATCATTTATTGACGAATACTTACGAAGCTACAAGGTGAAAGGACCACTGAGTTTAAAATAGAAAATCCGCCGCTAACAGCACCCAGTTTTCTTCGCCATAAGTTTAGAAATACACCCTCCGTTGGGGATTTAACTCAGACATCTAAAATCCTGTGAAAATAATTTTTTTTTAAACCTTTACAGTACATCGTGTACACATTTCATTTTCGCATCAATTTAACGGGTGATACTCGTAAAATATTTGGTTCCCTATCTTAGACCGTCGACGAGTCCAACTCGGCGCGCATCCTGGTAGGTTATAAACCTTCAAGCCCAAACAGCCACAATCAACATTCAACCAACTCCAAGTCCTAGCCAGAATGCCCAATTCACAGGCAACGATTAAAAACCAGTACTCCAGCCACATCAACATTCAAACAACTCCAAGTTAAGTCTTACCTGGATCCCAGTCTATTATGTTCATAAACATAAATAGAATAAGATTCGGAACATAGATAGAATAGAGATTCGGGCGGAATGACAGCTTGAGCGCCGCCCATTAATAGTTAAGTCCAGCCATATGCTCATATCACAGGTACTAAGGAAAACCAGTACACCATCAACACCAAAGAACTTGTTTATATGCGTTACAGGAAAGTCTGTGCAGTATTTTTTATCTTATCATAGTAAATTTTCTTATCATAGTAAAAGCATTAATAAATTAATTGGGCATTATTAAAAGGGTCCGTACGCAGCAACGCACCTTAGGAGCGGATTTGTGAAAAACCAAATTATTTCGTGGCATGATTCCATTATTATCAAAACAGCTAAGGGACGTCTAAGCGTCATAATAATTGCCTGCATGTCGGCGGTCGCCCCTCATTCATGGAGGAATCGTGAGTGGTGAGACACCAATAACATGCATGTGGTCCATTAACAAATATAATAACATTTAACAAATGCTATATTATATTTGTCCAAACAACATAATAGTTGGCCGATCCACATATTACGTCAACAACCTAGAGCGGCGAAATTAGGCAGAAATGGTGACCTATTGGGTAATTTTCAACAATGGCCATGAGTAATCCGGCTAACGGAGAAGAGGTGGGTTTTAATATGCAAATTCGCACAGACGTAACAGTGTCGTAACATGTGACGGTAAACATGTACGTCACATGTACGTAAAATGTGACGTTAACATTGCGTAACATTTGACTAAACAGGTGACGTAACATGTGACGTAAACATGTGACGTAACATGTGGACGTAACATGTGACTTAACATGTGACTAAACATGTGAGGACGTAACATGTGACGTAACATGTTGACGTAACATGTACGTAACATGACGAACATGTGACGTACAAGGTGACGTAACAGTGGACCGTAACATGTGACGAACATGTGACGTAACATGTACGTAACATGTGACTTAACATGTTACTTAACAATGTGACGTAACATGTGACGTAACATGTGACGTAACATGTGACGTAACATAGTGACGTAACATGAGACGTAACATGGACGTAACATGTGACGTAACATTTGACGTAACAAAGTGACGTAACATGTGAGGGCCGCTTACCAGGATGAGAGGTTAGTCCAGCTCTAAGCACCACATGGAATCAAACTGCACGCTCGTTTCTAACAGACCATATTACGTTTCTATCAACCCAACTGTAAATGGGGTGGGCTTGGGGAGAATTCGAATGATTACCTAAGTGGTAGTTTTGACACCAATAGCTATGTGAAAAACTGGTTTACGAGGGGGGGGGGGGGGGGGTAAAAAATGTTTTCCAAAAAATGATTACGTAATATGTGAACGACCCTTATCTCTCACTGTTAATCAAGTTGCTTAATTTAGATGAACAAGACGGTTATACGCTACATTAGGTACAGAACGATTAGACAAACTTTAGTTTTAAGTACAACGAATCAAACTCTCATAGAATGATACTCACCAACAAATCTAATGTATCAGAACGGCTCACGCCCGGCCACAGCAGGAATCCTGTCATCAAACACTAAAACAAAACGCTGTTCACGTCCGATTTCCTTTATCTTCTATCTTTCTTGTTGTTGCTATTACTCAGCACATATTCTATAAGTAATTATCAGTTTTTTTTTCTCCGAAGCTCTTTTCATAACATTAGCAATGAATTTGAATGTTCTTGACCTTCTGTGAAAATGATTTACAATGTATACAATGTATACAATGTATTATACGTCCAATGTTGAAGAGTTGAAGTGATCGAAATTTAATTTCATTAAATTTCAGATACTTTTCAAACATTTTATATTGTGAAAAGAATTGGGACTTGGAAAATTTCATGAATTTTCCAGTCCCAATTCTTTCGTACGATTAAATAACAAATGAAATTAAACAAATTATACGATAGATGTATGTAAATATTTTTCTCTATAAAAACATTAGTTAAAAACATTTCGAACTTTCAGGTTTTTATCAATTAAAACTCTTCTACATGGTAGGTATACTAAAATTAATTTATTAATAAGGGTCATTGTATAATGTCGTCGTCATTTTTTTGCAACCATTTTTTTGGCGGATTTGTGCGAAATTTGGTAATCCATCTTCCTCAATCATAATGGCAAAAACAACATTTAAAGAACAAAAAACTTTGCAATTTAGCCTATGGCGGAAAAAAAAAAATCCGTATAATTTGGCAAGCGGCGACGATTTCCCAACACCCAACAATGAATAAATAACCTTAAAGATATCGTCATTGAAATATTGAAGTGCAACGATGTTTATCCAACAGTGAACCAGGCTAGTTTCAAAAGACACACCCAAACACCCAAATTTGTTCAAGTCGAGGCGTCAATAAATAAGGTTCTGCACACGTAAAACAAATACTGTTAGGAGACAAGTGTCCATGGAGACAACTTGTTTTTAGGAGACAACACAATCAAGTCACTTTGAATTGTGTTCGGTGGCTTCTCGAGGGACCACACCCAACTGAAATCTTCATCTTCTCATTTGTAAACTGAGATTGTTGAGAATAACAGCTGAAAGTAAATCCTCAGCTTGGTGGAGTTTTTTAGTGCTGAGACCACTGAATCGTCTTGATGTCGATCCCTTCCTGAAATATGCAGTAGATGAATCCAGAAATTTGGAACATGGGCACATCGCAGTATTGGCCGTATTTGAGTGCTGGGAAGGCTCATTCGTTTTCTAAGATGGATTAAAAGCCGTAAGCTAGGCCTAGGAGCCATCAAAGTCGTATAAAAAGTTACCATGGAATGACCAGAAATGACGAAACTGAACATTCTTCTCATAGTGCTTCAAAATGGGTTTTAAAATGGGTCGGGAAAGTGTTTTTAACATTTGGTCCTAGGACAACTCAAACCAAGTTTGAGAATGACACTGCATGTCTAGAACCAATTGTGAAGGTGGTTTCCAATTTTATTTTTGTAACCATTTTGGGATCCATGGGAACATCGAAGTATTGCTGTATTTAAGTGCGAAGCCTCAATTCGGTGTTTCTAAGATGGATATAGGTAAAAACTAGGCCTAAGAGCCATCAAAACTCATAATAACTTACCCAGTTCATGGAATGAACGAAAATGAACAACAATGAATATTGTCCAAAAAATCGCACAAAACGTTTAAAATGGGTCGGAAAGTGTATTACATTGGTCTTAGGACCACTCAAACCAAGTTTGGAAACACTGCAAGTCTAGAAACCGATGTTACCTAATTTTCCAAAATGTATCCAATTTGTCACAAATAATCCCTCCTAGAATCCTAGATTTTGGAACATTGGCACACGAAGTATTGGCTGTATTTAAGTGCTGGGAAGCCTCAATTTTCGGTTTCTAAGATGATATAGGTAAAAGGCTAGGCCTAAGAGCCATCAAAACTCAAAAAACAATACCCCATGGTTCATGGAATGAACGAAAAATAACAAAAATGAATATTGTCCCTAATAATGCCACAGAACGGTTTAAGAAAGGGTCGAAAGTTTTATACATTGGTCCTAGGACCACTCAGAACCAAGTTTTGGGACATCACTGCATGTCTAGAACCGATGTGAAGGTGTTCCCAATTTTGATTTTGTAACCATTTTGGGAACATGGGGACATCGAAGTATTGGCTGTATTAAGTGCTGAGAAGCCTTCCAATCGGATTTCTAAGATGGATATAGGTAAAACCTAGGCCGAAGAGCCATCAAAACTCAAATAACATACCCAGGTTCCTGGAAGAAACGAAAAATGAACAAAAATGAATATTGTCCTAAAAATGCTCAGAATGGATTAAAATTGGTCGGGAAAGAGTGTTTATATTATGTTCCTAGCCACGCACTCAAACCAAGTTTGGGAATCCCGCTTGCTAGAAACCGATGTTACCAAGGTTCCAAAAGTTCAATAATTCTCCTGATAATCCAGATTTTTGGAAACATTGGCACATCGAAGTAATGGCATGTATTTAAGTGCTGGGAAGCTCAATTCGGTTTTCTAAGATGTGATATAGTAAAAGCTAGGGCCTAAAGCCATCAAAACTCAAATAACATACCCAGGTTCATGGACGTGAACAGAAAATAACAAAAATGAATATTGTTCCTAAAAATGCTCAGAACGGTTTAACGAATGGGTCCAAAAATGTTTACATTGTCCTATGACACTCAAACCAAGTTTGGGAATCACTGCATGTCTAGAACCGATGGAAGGTGGTTCCAATTTTGATTTTTGTAACCATTTTGGGAACTGGGGACATCGAAGTATTGGCTGTATTTAAGTGGCTGGGAAGCCTCAATTCGTTTTTCTTTCTAAGAGGATATAGGTAAAAACTAGGCCTAAGATCCATCAAAACTGAAATAATATTACCCAGGTTCATGGAATGAACGAAAATGAACAGAAATGAATATTGTCCTAAAAATGCTCAGAATGGTTTAAATGGTCGAACGTGTTTATATTAGTCCTAGACAGTCAAACAAAGTTTTGGGAATCACTGCATGTTTTAAACCGATTGTTACCAAATGTTGCCAAAATGTTCCAATTTTGGCACAATAATCCTCCTGAGAAATCCAATTTTTTGGAACAGGGCACATCGAAGTATTGGATGTATTGTAAGTGCTGTGAAGCCTCACTTCGTCTTTCTAAGATGGATATAGGTAAAAACTAGTGCTTTAAGAGCCATCAAAACTCAAATCCATCATACCCCGGTTCATGAATGAACGAAAATGAATCAAAAATGAATATTGTCCTAAAAATGCTCAGAATGGTTTTAACATTGGCGGAAAGTGTTTTTATAATAGTCCTAGGACCACTCAAACCAAGTTTGAAGAATCACTGCATTGTCTAAACCGAGTGTTTTACCAATGTTCCAAAATGTTCGCAATTTTTGGCACAATAATCCACCTGAGGAATCCAGATTTTTGAACATGGGCACTTCGAAGTATTGGCTGTATTTAAGTGCGGGAAGCCTCAATTTGTTTTTTCCTAAGGATGGTTATAGGTTAAAAACTAGGCTAAGAGCCATCAAAACTCAAATAACATTACCCCGGTTCATGGAAGAAATGGACGAAAATGAACAAAAAGTGAATATTGTCCCTAAAAATGCTAAGAATGGTTTAAAATTGTCAGAAAGTGTTTTATATGGTCCTGGACCACTCAAACCAAAGTATTGGGAATCACTGCATGTCGTAGAACCGATGTTACCTATGTTCCAAAATGTTCCAATTATTGGACAATAATCCACCTGAGAATCCAGATTTTTGGAACATGGGCACATCGAAGTATTGGCGTATTTAAGTGCTGGGAAGCCCATCATTCGAATTTTCTAAGATGGATATGAAGTAAAAACTAGGCCTAAGAGCCATCAAAACTCAAATAACATTCCCCCAGGATCATGTACTGAACGAAAATGAACAAAAATGAATATTGTCCTAAATATGCTCAGAAACGGTTTAGAATTGGTCGGAAGTGTTTAAATTGGTCCTGGGACCACTCAAACCAAAGTATGGGAATCACTGCATTCTAGAACCGATGTTACCTATGTTCCAAAATGTTCCAATTTTTGACAATAATCCTCCTGATAATCCCGATTTTTTGAACATGGGCACATCGAAGTATTGGCTGTATGTTAAATTGCTGTGAAGCCTCAATTCGGTTTGTCTAAGATGGATATAGGTAAAAACTAGGCTAAGATCCATCAAAACTTGGAAATAATATTTACCCAGGTTCATGGAATGAACAAATGAAAACGAGAAATAATATGGTCCTAAAAATGCTCAGAATGGTTTAAAATTTGGTCGGAAAGTGTTTATATTAGTCCTAGGACCAGTCAAACAAAGTTTGGGAATACACTGCAGTTTAGAACCGATGTTACGCATGTTCCAAAATTATTCCAATTTTGCACAATAATCCTCCTGAGAATCCAGCTTTTTGGAACAGGGCACATCGAAGTAATGCTGTATTTAAGTGCAGGGGAAGCCTCAATTTCGTCTTTCTAAGATGGATATTAGTAAAAAAACTAGGCTTAAGAGCCATCAAAAACTCAATCAAATTACCCAGTATCATTGGAATGAACGAAAATGAACAAAAAAGAATATTGTCCTAAAAATGCTCAGAATGGTTTAAAATTGGTCGGAAAGAGGTTTATATTTGTCCTAGGACCACGCCAAACCAAGTTTGAGAATCACTGCATGTCTAGAACTCGATTGTTTACCAATGTTCCAAAATGTTCCAATTATGGCACAAATAAATCCCTCCTGATAATCCAGATTTTTGGAACATGGCACTTCGAAGTATTGCTGTATTTAAGTGCTGGGAAGCTCAATTTGTTTTCTAAGATGGATATAGTAAAACCTGGCCTAAGAGCCTTCAAAACTCAAATAACATTTACCCAGGTTTCATGGAAAAAACGAAAATGAAGCAAAAATGAATATTGTCCTAAAAATGCACAGAAAGGTTTAAAATTGGTCAGAAAGTGTTTATATGGTCCTGTGACCAACTCAACCCAAGTTATGGAATCACTGGATGTCTAGAACGATGTTACCTATGTTCCAAAATGTTCCAATTTTGGTACAATATCCCCTGAGAATCCAGATTTTTGGAACATGGGCACATCGCAGTATTGCTGTATTTAAGTGCTGGGAAGCCTCAAATCGAATTTTTTCTAAGATGGATATAGTACAAACTAGGCTAAAGCCATCAAAACACAAATTAACATTACCCAGGTTATCATGTAATGATCGAAAATGAACAAAAATGAATATGTCCTAAATTTGCAAGGGGGGGGGGGGGGGGGGGGGGGGTAACCCAGAACGGTTAAAAATTGGGTCGGAAAGTGTTTTTATATTGGTCCTGGGACCACTCAACCAGTTGGGAATCACTGCATGACTAGACCGATGTTTACCTAAGTTCCACAAGTTCCAAATTTGGACAATTAATCCTCCTGAAATCCAGATTTTTGGGAACATGGGCACTATCGAAGTATTGGCTGTATTTAAGTGCTGGGAAGCCCTCAAATTTCGGTTTTTACTAAGATGGATATAGGTATAAAACTAGGCCTAAAGCCAACAAAGACTCAAATAACATTACCCAGGTTCATGGAATGAAGAAAATGAACAAAAGAATGAATATTGTCTTAAAATCGCTCAACGGTTAAAAATTGGTCGGAAAAGTGTTTATATTGGTCCTAGGACCACCCAAAGACAAGTTTGGGAATCACTGCATGTCTAGAACCGATGGTACCAATGTTTCCAAAATGTTCCAAATAATTGGGACTATAATCCTCCTGAGAAGTCCAGATTTTTGGAACCTATGGCACATCGAAGTAATGGCCTAAATTTAAAGTTTCTGGGAAGCCTCAATTCGGTTTCTAAGAATGGATATAGGTAAAAAACAAAGCAATAGCCATCAAAACTCAAAAAACATTACCAGGGTTCATGGAATGAACGAAATGACAAAAAATGAATATGCCTAAAAATGCTCAAACGGTTTTAAAATTGGTCGGAAAGTTAGGGAATCACTTCATGTCTAGAACCCGATGTTACCAATGTTGTCACAATAATCCTCCTGAGCATCCGATTTATGGAACATGGGTGACATCAGAAGTGCTGGGAAGCCTCAATTCGGTTTCCTAAGATGGATAATAGTAAAAACTATACCCACCTAAGAGCCATCAAAACTCAAATAACATTACCAGGTTACATGGAATGTACGAAAATGAACAAAAATGAATCTTGTTCCTAAATATGCTCAGAACGGTTTAAAATTGGTCGGAAAGTGGTTTATATTGGTCCTGGACGACTCAAACCAAGTTTTTGGGAATCACTGCAGTCTAGACCCGATGTTACCTAGGTTCCCAAATGATCAATTTTGGGATCAATAATCCTCCTGAAAATCCAGATTTTGGAAACATGGGCACATCGAAGTATTGGCTTGTAATTAAGTGCTGGGAAGCCTCATTTCGAATTTTCTCTAAGATGGATAAAATGTAAAACTATCCTAAGAGCCATCAAACTCAATAACATTACCCAGGTTCATGTAATGAACGAAAATGAACAAAAAATGAATAATGTCCTAATATGCTCAGAACGGTTAAAATGGTCCGGAAAGTGTTTATATTGGTCCTGGGACCACTCAAACCAAGTTTGGGAATCACTGCAATGTCAAACCGATGTTTACCTTATGTTCCAAAATGTTCCAATTTTGGGACAATAATCCTCCTGAGAATCCAGATTTTTTGGAACATGTGCACTATCGAAGTATTGGCTGTACTTTAATGCTGGTAAGCCTCAATTCGAATTTTCTAAGCTGGAAATAGGTAAAAAACTACTATGGCAAAGAGCCATCAAAACTCAAATAACAATTACACAGTTCATGTAATGGAACGAAAATGGAACAAAAATGAATATTGTCCTAAAAATGCTCAGAACGGTTTAAAATTGTTTCGGAAAGTGTTTATATTGTCCTAGGACCACTCAAACCAAGTTTGGGGAATCACTGCAATGACTAGAACCGATGTTACCTATTTCCAAAAATTTCCAATTTGGGACAATAAATCTCCTGAGAATCCAGATTTTTGAACATGGGCACATCGCAGTATTGGGCTGTATTTAAGAGCTGGGAAGCATTTAAATCAAAAATTGGAGGATTATTAAACAAAAATATTTGCCCAATAAAATAATTCTGTTTAATTGTACATAATTCTGAATGCAACTTTTAAGACCCTGTTGGACACAATATTGACTCTTTGCCACCATTTTTTAACCATTTCTGAGGTTCTTGAGGAAAATTTTCATGTTCGTTGTTCATCCATAATCTTGATGGGAATATTATACGACTTTTTGGAAGGCTCTCTAAAAAGGCCTAGTTTTTTTTATAACCATCTTAGAAAACCAATTGAGGCTTCCCAGCACTTTCGATGTCCCCATGTTCCAAAAATCTTGATGCTCAGGCGGATTATTGTGGACAACATTTGGTAACATCGGGTCTTAGACATGAGTGATTCCCAAACTTTCCGACCATTTTAAACCGTTCTGAGCATTTTTAGGACAAGATTCATTTTTTGGTTCATTTTCGATTCATTTTCCATGAACCTGGGTAATGTTATTTTGAGTTTTGATGGCACTTAGGCTTAATTTTACCTATATCCAATCTTAGAAAACCGAATGATGCTTCCCAGCACTAAAATACAGAGCCAATCTTCGATGTTGCCCATGTTCCTAAAACTCTGGATTCTCAGGAGGATATTGTCCCAAAATTGAACTTTTGAACATTGGTAACATCGGTTCTAGACATGCAGATATTCCCAAACTTGCTATTTGGGTGGTCCAGGACCAATATAAACCACTTTTCCGACCAATTTTAATAAACCTTCTGAAGCATTTTAAGGACATATATTCATTTTTGTTTCATTTTCGTTCATTCATGAAACCTGGGTAATGTTATTTGAGTTTTTGATGGCTTCTTAGGCCTAGATTTTTACTAAATCCATCGTAGAAAACCCGAATTGAAGGCTTCCCAGCATTTAAATACACCAAATACTTCGATGTGCCCAGTTCAAAAATCTGGATTCTCAGGAGGATTATCTTGTCCCAAAATAGGAACATGTATTGGAAACATAGGTCACATCGGTTCTAGACTTGCAGTGATTCCCAAACATGGTTTGAGTGGTCCATAGACCAATATAAACTCTTTTCGACCAATGTTAAACCGTTCTGAGCATTTTTAGGCTAATATTCATTTTGATCATTTCGTTCATTCCATGAACCTGGTAATGTTTATTTGAGTTTTTGATTGGCTCTAGGCCTAGTCCTTTACCTACTCCATCTTAGAAAACCGAATTGATGCATTCCCAGCACTTAAATACAGCGGAATACTTCGATGTGCCCATGATCCAAAATCTGGATTCTCAGGAGGATTTATTGTCCCAAATTTGGAAACATTTGGAACATAGGTCACAATCGGTCTAGACACTGCAGTGATTCCCAACTTGTATTGGAGTGTCATAGGACAATATAAACACTTTCCGACTAATTTTAAACCGTTCTGAGCATTTTTAGGACAATATTCATTTTTGTTCATTTTCGTTCATTACATGAACCTGGGTAATGTTATTTGAGTTTTGATGGCTCTGAGGCCTAGTCTTTACCTATATTCATCTTAGAAAACCGAATTGAGGCTTCCCAGCACTTAAATACAGCCAATACTTCGATGTGCCCATGTTCCAAAAATCTGGATTCTCAGGAGGATTATTGTCCCAAAATTGGAACATTTTGGAACATAGGTAACATCGGTTCTAGACATGCAGTGATTCCCAAACTTGGTTTGAGTGGTCATAGGACCAATATAAACACTTTCCGACCAATTTTAAACCGTTCTGAGCATATTTAGGACAATATTCATTTTTGTTCATTTTCGTTCATTACATGAACCTGGGTAATGTTATTTGAGTTTTGATGGCTCTTAGGCCTAGTTTTTACCTATATCCATCATTTACAATTATTTTTGGCACTATTTAGAGCTTATTAGGGCAAATAAATGCATGGGACACTTTTGGGACAATTTTGGGACATGTTCCAAAAATGTTCCAAAAATGTTCCAAAAATCTGGATTCATCAACTCGAAATATGTTCAACTAATAATCTTCTAGACATTAATTATTAACTGTGTGAGCCTTCAAAAAGGTTGAAAACAGAGAAATCCATGTAATGATTATAAGTGAGCGACAAGGTAGCGATAATATGATAGTAAATAGTTAATGTTTATGAAGTAAAAAAGGAGAATGTTTACCTGCACCATCTCCCAGAGGGGGGACATTTCCCGAAGCCTAGTCACGTGTTTAATACACCTCTCAGCTGTGTAATCTACCTCCTCTACTGTCGAGTAACGTCCAAACCCGAACCTGAACACGTTTACCATGGTTAACACAGTAATACTTACTGAACATTATTTCATAACATGCGGCTAAAGTGTCATAATTATTGGCGCGTAGACAATTTTGCGTAAAATTTTAGCTTACCCAAGCTTTTAGAAACGATCATTACTCATGAATTAACTTCTGACGGCTTTTCTTGGAATATTGCATATAGTTTCATTGCGTCCTAATATATGAATTATTCACCGAATGGAATAGCACATGATACGTTACGCGAGGTTTTGTACGTGACATGATCTAACGTGACACTCGTTAATTCCGCGCAAAGCGCAGAGTTCAAATTTTAAATTAAGCGCCGCTGGCGCTAAAAGTTTCAGTAGACCCTTTTGAACTAATATGAGTTTGTCACAGATTTTGTCACAGTATTCAAGCATAGATTAATAGCTACGATTTGATTGTTTTGAGCTCTACTTGAGGTTTTCTCATTGAAGGTAATCGCTAGAGCTATAAACCATATAAATCGGGTAATTAATGTCCAGTTTTATTTACTCAGGCTATGATTCAGGCTATGATTCAGGCTATGATATTATGCAGGCTATGATTCAGGCTATGATGATACGAGAATTTACCAATTTAAAACTCTGTGACACAGTTACTTGTTAGGTGCAATGTGGACAGATATTGACCAGTGAGTATTCTCTCAAATTCCCCTTAAAGTCTGTTTATTCATTACCTGATAGAGGAGTGAGCCATGTCATCATCTGCCCCCAGCGCTCTCAGCACATAACTCGGTTCCAGAGAGGCAGAAGTACAAGCTGAACCTGAGGGAGGACAACAGTCAGATTGATTGATTGATTGATTGAAAGCCCCTCGTAAGGGGGTCGTCTCTAATGGACTAATTTATTGATTACAGTCATAATAAGTTAAAAATAAAGACCCCAATGGGCACTCCTGAAAACATAACTACTAGAAAGCTAGTAGGTAGCTAAAGAAAGTTAGAAACACAGATCAGCACAATAAAAAGGAGAGAAGGAGATATGTACTGGTGAACATTCCCAAATCTCACAACCTGATAACAACGTAAACAAGATATTATCATAAAAACATTCAATCTCAAATTTTAAATGTTCTTAAACTTAAACAAGCAAAGAAAGATACAAACCTGAGGAGAGAGCGATATCTTTGAGAGCCATTAGTAAACTCTCCCCCTCAACATAAGCAAATGAGAGGTTAACACAGCCAGGGTACCCCCTCTCTGGGTCTCCATTCCGCTCCACATGTGTTAGTTCCGAGGTGACTTTCTCCACAAACCTGTCACTAAGCATCTTCACGTAATCGTGGTCGTAACTAAAATGGTTATTCGATATTAGGTCATTATCGAAACACTTTCTCAGCATTTGAAACCTTTGGGGTAATTCTTTTCTTTGGCTGTTATTCATAATGATTGCGATCACTCATCACGAGCCTTCTACCTCCAATAGATTATTTAATAACGAATTTAAGAGGGCTCGGAATTAAGTTTTAAATCAGTTACATTGTTTGAATTAAAACATATGAATATATCTGTTAAAATAAAGTAAAATGAAGTGAAATGTTAACCTGATCTCTTGTTGAGCAAGTGAGCAGGCTGCCCCGAGTCCCACACAGAGATGAGTGGGAACTGTGCCACTCCTCATTCCTCGCTCCTGACCACCTGAACAGTTTCACTGTTACATTTACATTCACTCTGTTGTTGTCATGGTAACTGTAGTGGTTACTAACTGTAATTGTAACTAACCTCCACTCTGTTGTTGTCATGGTAACTAACTGTAATGGTAACTAACCTCCAATCTGTTGTTGTCATGGTAACTAACTGTAATGGTAACTAACCTCCACTCTGTTGTTCTCATGGTAACTAACTGTAATGGTAACTTACCTCCAATCTGTTGTTGTCATGGTAACTAACTGTAATGGTAACTAACCTCCACTCTGTTGTTGTCATGGTAACTAACTGTAATGGTAACTAACCTCCACTCTGTTGTTGTCATGGTAACTAACTGTAATTGTAACTAACCTCCACTCTGTTGTTGTCATGGTAACTAACTGTAATGGTAACTAACCTCCACTCTGTTGTTCTCATGGTAACTAACTGTAATGGTAACTTACCTCCAATCTGTTGTTGTCATGGTAACTACATGGTAACTAACCTCCACTCTGATGTTGTCATGGTAACTAACTGTAATGGTAACTAACCTCCACTCTGTTGTTGTCATGGTAACTAACTGTAATGGTAACTAACCTCCACTCTGTTGTTGTCATGGTAACTAACTGTAATGGTAACTAACCTCCACTCTGTTGTTGTCATGGTAACTACATGGTAACTAACCTCCAATCTGTTGTTGTCATGGTTACTAACTGTAATGGTAACTAACCTCCACTCTGTTGTTGTCATGGTAACTAACTGTAATGGTAACTAACCTCCACTCTGTTGTTCTCATGGTAACTAACTGTAATGGTAACTAACCTCCAATCTGTTGTTGTCATGGTAACTAACTGTAATGGTAACTTACCTCCACTCTGTTGTTGTCATGGTAACTAACTGTAATGGTAACTAACCTCCAATCTGTTGTTGTAATGGTAACTACATGGTAACTAACCTCCACTCTGTTGTTGTCATGGTAACTACATGGTAACTAACCTCCACTTTGCAGAGGTTCTAGTCGCACTCTAGGTCGTCTCCTAACGTAGAGAGCACCCACTCCTTTAGGCCCGTATATCTTGTGTCCACTTATTGACATAAGGTCGATATTATTCTCATTCACGTCCACTGGAATCTTACCAACAGCCTGGAAGTAATACAGGAATATGAGAGAGTAGAACTAATTATATGTATACTAATTGTGTAATTAATTACACAATCTTCTTAATAGACAAACACTGCCACTGATTAAAATGCAGCAGCTGATAACAGTGAAGAGAAGCTACACTCCTGGAGTCTTTACCTGCGCTGCGTCAGTGTGGAAGAAGATTTTGTTTTGTCTGCAAATCTCACCAATCTCTTTGACTGGCTGAGTTACTCCGATCTCATTGTTAACATACATAAACGATACTAAACCTGCACAGGGAATTATCAGTTAATATATGTGAGACGTATAACAGGATTAAACAGGATAATTAAGCAACTGTATAGTAGAGAATTGAACAATCCCCCCACCCCACCCCACCCCACCCCCAAACAACACCCCACCACACCCCCAAACCCCACCCCACTCCTTCACACTTTCACAAGTGTTGTCGTGTACCAGTGTTGGGTCTGATGCTCGCTTTGAATAGGTCCATGTCAATAACTCCGTTCTTTTGGACTGGTAGATACGTCACCTGGTACATCAGTTATATAAGATGTACTAAGTTACATAAGAATTAAGATACATTATCCATAACTAAAATATCCCTCAATATAACGTTAAAGTACAGATATTTACAATGATATGATGGTTAAAAATACAACTAATAGTATCGCTAACCTCAAATCCCTCTTTTTCCAAGTATCTACAACTGTCCAACACACATTTGTGTTCAGTTGCTGCAGTAATCACGTGCTGTTTCCTCTTACGGTAGAACTTAGCAACTCCTTTTACTGCAATGTTGTTACTTTCCGTAGCTCCCGAAGTAAATATTATCTCTTTAGGGTTAGCTCCTGTAAACACATACAGTTAGTGTTATCATGGTTCTGCCCGTTATCATTTGTGTTACAGGTATCACCATGGTAAAACTTCAATATACAGCGTTAAAAAAACATTATGACTTGTATTATTATACTACTCAATACTCATTTTATATACAATATAATATACATAGTATGAATATGTTGATGTCTGTATTTAGCAGATAGGAATATTACCGATGAGTTGAGCGACTTGCTCGCGTGCTATCTCCACACCCTCCTCACTCTCCCAGCCGTACGCGTGAGTACGCGAGTGAGGGTTACCGTACGCGCCCATCTGGTAGGGCAACATTGCGTCTAATACACGTGGGTCTACTGGTGTTGTTGCCTAGTGGGGTAGCTCAGTTACATTAAATAACACACTAAATACACGACTTAAAGATTATAGAAGTATAGATGCATGTGGATTCTGGTGGGGAGGTGAGGCATATTTTTTACCCCCTGTAGAAATATTTTCTAAACGAGAGCTCGAAATTAACCGAGAAATCGACCTTGTTCATTATGAAAACATCCCATTTTGCGAAAGAGTTCTTGCAAGTACCTACTTTAATTCAAGCTACATAATATAGTTATTACAGTAGCATGGAATATATAGTAGTTACCTGAATGTCCAGGTAGATAGGTCTCCCATCCTCCGGAGTAACTACAGTTTCAGGGATATAGGGTACACTGGCAACACTACTGGCTGCCCTGCTGAGAAGCAGATTGAGGCGTGCTGCCAACTGTCTGGAAACACCAAGTGCCATCTTGCTACAGAAGGTAGAACTTTATTGAGCATATTGAGTTAATGGTTTGTAAATATTATTATGATAACAAATTGAATTTTACGTAGCTTTATATAATGTTCAAACAATTATTTGTTGCCATAAAATACCTCTTCCCTTTATTACTGAAGTACTCTTTAAGTATGATATAATAGATTACTATAATATACATATAACATAATTAATAGTAGAAATATTCTCAAATGTCAATCTAATTAGCAACTATACAAAATTGTATAAATAGTTTTCTGGACAATCAACTGTAACTATGCACTATAAATAGCATGTAAAAACTTGAACTGTTAACAATTAACATGGAATCGATAAATTTGTCATGAAGCACAGGATTGCAGTACAAGTCAAGTATATTTTATAAAGGAGTCAGCAATTTCATTCCCGAGTGAAGGCGAATCACTGCACAAATCGCTTTTTATTGTTCGTTTGACCTTTCATTTTATCGCTTATTGTGCTAACTACTGCTTCAGATATTGCTAGTTTGCGTAATCAAATCAACAGGGTGATCCAAAATATTTGATTTTTGAATAATTCCTAGACAGTGCAATATAATTCATTTCTGTAAACAGTTTTATGAAATAGAAGTTCTGAATTGTGGATTCCTAGTTTTGAATCACCCTGTATCTGCAGCTATCCATCACATTATCATTCATTAACTTTACTGCATATATATACTATTATATAGTAATAGTAATATAATAGTAATATGCCTTAGAATGTAGACTATGCCTTAGAATGTAGACCGTCAATTCAGGACAGGCTAATATCATCAAATATTTGGCACGTTATCGTACACGTTACACGTAGACAGTAAATATATATGCACGGTATCCATAATTAGATGATTGATTGAAAGCCCCTCGTATGGGGATTGTCTCTAATGGACTAATTTATTGTTTACATCATAATCAGTTAAACATAAAAACCCCAATGGGCACTCCTGAAAACATAACTAGTAGAAAATATATCAAAACTAAATAGAAAAGTGAGGTCAAATGTAATAAATCGTAACAAACTGCAATTAATGGAATATACATTTTGAATTCGTTATTTAATGGCACGCAGCAAATTATAAAAAATGTAACAAAAGTCAAGCAAAAGTGTTGTTCACAAATCACATTTACAATTGGTTTAAGTTTCAAATTAATTCCACTGTATGAAAAACAGATTATTTTAAAATTACAGTTTATAAACATGGCATTGATTTGGTTTGGTAAAAGAGTGATTGGATTTAACCCCAATTAACAGCAAAAACAATTACGAATTTCTATTTCTATTGGACTTACGGAAGCCGCTGATTTCGTGGATGAGAAATTTAATCGTGGACCACTCATTTACATTATCAACCCCCTTCTGCAGCTTCAGTATTGCATTGGCCATTGTGATTTGAACGCCTTCAGCGATTGGCATGACACTGACTAAATTGGACCGTTGAAGAATCTATGTGTGGCAGTATTGCAGTCATTGAATCATTAATAGTTAAATCTGTTAGCACAGCACAATACAAACAACTCATTGTATATTGGTTGTTTTGTTTATACTTTTTAACACTCATAATTTTCATTACTAATTAGTACAATGGAATGTTATTAGCACTAGAATGTAGTTTGTCAACTAAACCCAGGACTCAGGAGATATCTAAGGGTTCAATTGTACAGCTCATTTCAACACTTTAGCTTGTTTGATATATCTATGTTTTGACGCTTATATTTATGCAGTTTGCTAAAATTAGCTCGTGTTTTGATACCTGTGGATCTAAATATCAATGCGTAGTAGCTAGGCTTAATGAAAAACATTTAGATATTCGAAAAGGGAAATAATAATTGGACGGTTGAGTTTGTTCAGTGGGTTTTAAATAGATAAATAGAGTAGTTAAATTAAGATCTGAGTATTATACATGTACACCAAGGTATACTAATAGGTCACTTCCTCCTGCCCTACGAAATCACGTGATACTAATACTGTTCGCTGAATGGTCAGCCGCACTCCCAGCTCTCATTTCATTGGCTGTGACCTGGGTACAAATTGTATAGTTGCAACCGCGAGTACAGCTACTAGTATAGAGCAGCTACTATAGCTGCCGTTATTTCTAACTCTCCTTCTTTCTTGTTTCTTCCGCTATTTTCACTAGTTTACGGTAAAAAGTACAAGTAACAACATATATTATATACAGCCTGTATTGATGTAACGGTGTAGACTAAATATAGCTGCTAACCAGTTACCGGTACGACACACAAATGCAATTTATAACACAATGTCAGCTGTAACCATGGCATCGCAGTATTGCACTGTCAGCTGTACTGTAGCCATGGTAGCGCACTCTCAACTGTGTATAAATTGTATAGTGCACGGAACTACATTACAGCCTTTTGTTTAATGAACTAGATTGTATTTGTTTCGCCGTTCTTTTGTTTCAATATCTTCATGTTCTTTTGTTTTTGATATATTATGAGCTACATCTGTATTTCAGTTCACTTCTGAAATTTTGCTAGTACAATTTTAGTAACTTACCATAGTTTAGAGCCGCTATCTCTAGATATCTATTTGAACTTACTGAGAGTTTGTATAGTTGTTGTAGTACGTTGACTGTAATCCAACACCAGTACAACATGTCGTCACTAGTATGTCACGAAGCATCACTGACTAGTCACATTGTAGGAGTTTAGTACACGCCACGCCTACAACACTGCCACGACTCACAGAAGCTCTTCGCTTGATACGTCTTCACTTGCAGTACAGAACTATGCACATATCTTCACTTGTATACAGTTTCCTGATTCTTTTCTTAATAACTCTATCTCTCCTTTCGTAGACACTTTCTTTCTCTTAGTTCTACACTTGTAGAGACTTGTTTATAACTCTGCTACTGTCCACTAGGTACTACACGTACATTGGTATACAACTTAGACAACATCAACTTACTATCAACCATTAAGTTTGGTTTATGTTTATAACTACCCGTTTTACTCTAAACTCTGGTCACACTATCTAGTTATTGTCATTATAATGGCAGTCAATACAAATGGCCAAAACAATACCTCCACACGATTAACAGTCGCTTAAACCATCACATCATCACACTGAACGCAAATAGCACGAATATTTTTGACTTTGTTTTAACTTGTAAATACTAGAAGTTGCTTTTTACAACACTGCTCAGTAGAGATGTATTATTTAAAAGTCTCATGTTAACGCATTATTACTTCGTTCTAATTTGATCTGATAATCATTGGTTTGTTAAGGGTGAATATTACACTACATATTGTATTAACCCAGAAGCTTCTCAGAAGCTCGTTAAATGCAAGTGCAACTGTAAATGTTGACTGTGAAACTGTTATACTTATTCTACAGAACTCTGGATTATCAGAACTCTGGATTATTTAATCATAATACTACTAAAATAGCTTATAAAATTACTTAAAACATTAACATTCAGCGTTATATAGTTATATGTGTTATGCAATCAGATAAACGTAAGTCCTCAGTTTGGTTTTATGATTTAACACTTTTTCATGCAGTTCTGGTGCTTCTACTTTTCCTTCTGTAATGTAAGCCTTTATTATTTATAACAGCAATTTTAATATTAGGTAACTACTTAAAACACTCCATAACGCACACTGACCTGATCTAAATCGGACTTTAAAACATTATTTATTTTTCAGAGCTGCTGAAGAGCTTTTTAGTGCCGTTATCTACTAGAGGTTAGCAGAAGTACAGTAGATCAATATATTAACTTACTTATACCAAAAGTATACTACATACATTATAAGTCAATTTGATTATTGTATCACCTATTCTTATTTGTACTAATTGTAACTGACAATATAATAACAAAACTGAAACTTCAGATGAAAACGACTACGTGATAGTATCAGGGACGGACTGTGAAAGAGAACCTGAGTTTATACCAGATGGTCCAAAGAACGCCCTGCATCATATCTTGCAAGTGAGGGGACACAGACTACCTGAATATTCATCAGTCAGGGATGGAGAGTCAAACTGGACAGCAACTGCTATTCTACACATTTCTAGACATAAAACTATATCTGTTAAGGTAATATTCTACATATTTCTAGACATAAAACTATATCTGTTAAGGTAATATTCTACATATTTCTAGACATAAGACTATATCTGTTAAGGTAATATTCTACATATTTCTAGACATAAGACTATATCTGTTAAGGTAATATTCTACATATTTCTAGACATAAAACTATATCTGTTAAGGTAATATTCTACATATTTCTAGACATAAGACTATATCTGTTAAGGTAATATTCTACATATTTCTAGACATAAGACTATATCTGTTAAGGTAATATTCTACATATTTCTAGACATAAAACTATATCTGTTAAGGTAATATTCTACACATTTCTAGACATAAAACTATATCTGTTAAGGTAATATTCTACATATTTCTAGACATAAAACTATATCTGTTAAGGTAATATTCTACACATTTCTAGACATAAAACTATAGATCTGTTAAGGTAATATTCTACATATTTCTAGACATAAAACTATATCTGTTAAGGTAATATTCTACACATTTCTAGACATAAAACTATATCTGTTAAGGTAATATTCTACATATTTCTAGACATAAAACTATATCTGTTAAGGTAATATTCTACATATTTCTAGACATAAAACTATATCTGTTAAGGTAATATTCTACACATTTCTAGACATAAAACTATATCTGTTAAGGTAATATTCTACACATTTCTAGACATAAAACTATATCTGTTAAGGTAATATTCTACATATTTCTAGACATAAAACTATATCTGTTAAGGTAATATTCTACATATTTCTAGACATAAAACTATATCTGTTAAGGTAATATTTTACATATTTCTCGACATAAGACTATATATCTGTTAAGGTAATATTTTACATATTTCTCGACATAAAACTATATCTGTTAAGGTAATATTCTACATATTTCTAGACATAAA